CACTGCGGCTGCTGGCCGCTCACGCTGGCTGCTGGCTACACACGGTAGCCCATGGCAACCCACTGCCACAGGGGCTGCAGTCCACGCCGTCGCCAGCGACTCACGGCAGCGGGGCAGCAATCTTATCTAAACACTGCCACTGGCTTCCTAACTTTAATAAAACCTTTTCTTGCTCTCCTACTTTTCTGAGTCTTGTGAATGATTTCACCTACTGGGAACGATCAGGAGTTAACTACAGAGAATGACCAGGAAATGATGTGACCCCAGGAAAAAGGCCTGGGGGACAAAGGAAGCCATGGAAGCTCAACCTGGGGGGCGGGCGGGGGGCGGGGGGTAAGCAGGGATCTGCAAAGGCCGGGTCGGGAGGAAGCAGGGAACCTTTCTGGAAGTGTGTGCGGGCCCCGGTGATATTTGGACATGAGGAAGAGGAAGATGTGGGTTGGGATACGGAAGGACGTGGAAGAGCTAGAGAACTTAGCAGAGGATGCGAAGAAACATGGGAAATGCCGGAGGCCCAGGCAGGCGGGCCCCATAGGAGATGGACCTGTACCAGCCTAGAGCCAGGGGGCGCTACCAGCAGCAGCTTAGAGCGACCGGATAGTGGGGGAAGGGAAAGGTGTCACAGCGGGTCGCGGTGAACGGGAGGGCCTGGGACGCCGGGCGGAAGGGGAGGCGGGGCATTCCGGTCACGCACCGGGACTTCGCGCCCCGGGCCCCTGAAAGGCAAGGTGGGCGTCAGCTCGGATGATGCTGGGGTTGCTCCAGCAGCTACCTGCCAAGTATCCAGGTTCCCCAGCTCCCTGTACCGGAGCAATCCCGTCCCGGTCCACACCACACAGGTTGGTTGGCTGTGTTCAGTGAGTGGGTGGACCGATGAGCGACCACTGGACCAATGGGCGACCCTGGACCAATGGACGAGGGCGGTACCGATGGCCAAGGCTGGACCCCTGGGCGAAGGAGGGCGTAGGCTGAACTGATGGGCAGGGGAGGGACCAACGGTGTGAGAGGGACCATTGGGCGTGGGCGGGACTGGTGGGCCCAATGGCGAGGATGCTGCGCAGTCAAGGATATAGGGCTGAGTGGCGTCAATGAGCAAAAGGGAGACTTTCCCTCCGCTTGCTCAGGAAAGAGACTGGGGCGAACGAGGCCTTTAAACAAGTGCTCCGGCTTCCTCCGCAGGGAGCTGGGCTGAAACCCTGGGGGAGGCTAGTGCTCGGAGAGCCCTGCAGGGAAACCTAATCCGGGCTTCAGAACTGCCGACGCCCCGCCCCGCGCGCTGATTGGTCAGGTCGCCAGCTCGGTGTTACACAAGGAAGACCTGGAGAAGCGGAGTTTGCCCAAGGAATGGGCCCCCCGCGGCACTACTGCGCATGCTTGCGCCGTGACCCTAACTTGAGGTGACGGCCCGAACTGAGGCGGGGGCCTCTGGCACAGAAGCTGAGGGACCTGCCACGGCTCGGTCGCTGGAAAGGGAGGGCTCCGCTGCCGTCGCCGCCCGGCCGGTGCCCGGTGAGGACAGGCCCCAGCGGGTCGGGGAGGGTCCCGGATCCTATAGCGTGGATGCGCCCCTGGCCGGGCTTTCCCAAGGTTACCAAGGATTGCTGATACTGGGGGTTCCCCGGGGTCTGTGTCTCGGCTGTCAGGCCGACTCCTTGTCCTTCATCCCAGATTCGCCTTTCTCCACGCTCCTCTTTCCCCCAACCCACCTGACCCCGGGACTGAGCCCTGACAGAAACCCCGGATCAGGGAGCCCCACATTGGCCGGTCTTTCCTTGACCCCACCCAGTACTGCCCGTCTCCCTGTACCTATCCCCAGCCCCGTCCTACACTTGTGGCTCTAGAGGTCCCTGCAGGGATGGCAGAGTTGGAGGTGTGAGATACTGGGGCGGGGGAGACGCTGCGAAGCTTGGTCAGGAAGCGATGGTAATGACAGGAGAGGATAGGGGCAGGGACCTGGGGCCATTTGGACGCAGCATAGACAGGTCTGATGCCAAATTACAATGGGTTAGGATTATGAGCCATGGTGATTAGGGAAAAGGAGGTGCCATTAATTAAATCCCCACTTTGGAGAAGCTCTTTACTGCATACTATAGAGTAGCAGTTCTTCAAAGGTCACTGCTGCTTTGAAAATCTCCCTGTAAGGATGTGTACCTGCACAGCTAAGTGGACACATTATCCCACCAGCGATCCAATCACAGCCCCAGTGATTATGAGGGGTGGGGGCAGCTGTCAGTATCACCGGGAACCCCCCCCACCCCATTTTTTAGCTGAGCCATCCTGCCACCTGTTGGCAGCTCAGTGGCAGCTCAGCTCGGGCGGGCATCGAACTGCTCACAGTTGCCCAGAGCTCGCACCGGGAACTTTTTTAAACAACCACGTCTACCCATCGTCTACTTGCTATTAGGAACCTCCGCTAAATTTGCCATTATTCCCTTACACAGGTGAAACCAGCCCAGAGAGGGTCAGGGGTTGCCCTCATGGCTGAGACACAGGTGTTGGTGGGCGTTGGTGGTATTTCTCTCCCATATGTATAAAGGTAATTCTGCTGATCCATCATCAGCTGCCAGGCAGGGATCCCAGCTTCCAGAACCTCACCTACCTTATTGGTGAAAAAGGGACTCACCTCTTTTTAGTTTCTCATTGCTTCAGTAACAAATTACCACAAATTTAGTGACTGAAAACAACACAGCTTTGTAACAATCTTACAGTTCTGGAGGTCAGAAGTCTGACATAGGTTTCACTGGGGTAAAATCAAAGTGGGGACAGGACTGTATTCCTTCCTGGGGCCCTGGGAGACAGATCTGCTTCTTTGTCTTTTCCAGCATCTAGAGGCCTCCAGCGTTCCTTGGCTCATGGCTCCCTTCCTCCATCTTCACAGCCAGCAATATCGCATCTCTCCTACCCTGTTTCCATCAGCACATCTTTCTCTCTTTTTTTCTGCCTTCCTCTTCTGCTTTTTAGGATCCTTGTGATTGTAATTGGACCCACCTGGATAATCCAAGCTACTCTCTTAGTTTGGTAACCTTCATTCCATCTGCAACCTTAATTCCCCTTTGCCACGTAAGGAAACATATTCACAGGTTCCAGGGGTTAGGACCTGGACCTCTTGAGGGGGGGCATTATTCTGCCTCCCAAAGACGTAATGATGTCTGAGAGGCTCCTCACTTCTTCACATTGTGTGATTTGGGGCTTACACTGAGCCATCTTTACATTTCTGTGTCTCCTTTGTGCAGACCAATGTCATGAAGACTGATTGGGACAAGTAGGTGACTGGAGGTCACAGCAATACCAAAACACCAGACTGCAGAGTTAGGGAGAGGGTGTAAGCTGAACGAAGTAAGGTAACTGTTCAGTCTTTTTATCTTTAAATTCATTTCTGCTTCACTTTTATAAATTCTGTTTACTTAATGAACTTTTATTGAGTGAAATTTCAATTTTCAAAATATATACATTTGGCTTAAAGTAGCTGCCTTTCAACCCTTCCCTTTACCTAGAAAATAAATTGCTAGACAATAAAATAAATCCAGAAAAGAGACGGATCTGGTACCTGTCCATCCCTATTCATGGAGTGGTTGAAGAACAGGAACTAGGAACTAGGCTGAAGAACAGTTCAACCTAGGAACTAGAAGTTACAAGCTTCTCAAGTAGAGGGCCCAAGGCATTGTCACTATTTCTCAAAGTATCAGAATCAAATGGAGTACTAGGAAAAATTCTGATTTTTGGATCCCTGTCCAGACCCTCTGAGCGAGAAGCCTGGGGGTGGATTAGTCTGGGACTGTACTTTTTTTTTTTTAATTGGGGGAGGGGAACAGACAAGTTGCTGTCCTTTTGTTCTTCAGTATAGTTGTGGATGGAGGATGTTGCTTCACTGGCCCATGTTGGTATTATCATTGCGCTCTATCCAGGTGAGGCAGTCGTTCGAAGGCCATTGGACGGCCGCTCACGGTGGCTCACGGCAGCTCACGAAAGCTCACACCTGCTGCCCGCCAGCCCCACTGCAGCCTATGCCCTTACTGGCGACTCATGGCAGCCCAGCTCCAGGTCGAGCTGTTGTTCACCACCTTAGCTGCAGAGGGCACAGTGTCACTGGCCTGCATGTGGGATCCGAATCGGGGCCCAGCTACTCAGAGCTGGCATCTCAAGCCAACTCTTAACGAACGCAACACTCGACCAGCCCCATGGGACTGTACATTTTTAACAAGTACCCCAGGTATACTGAAGTTGGAGAACCACTGATTGTAGCCATAATTTGCGTTTTTCTTCCTACTTTTATTGAGATAATTCATATATCCTGTAATTCACTCACAGTACACAATTCAATGGCTTTTAGCATATTCACAAACTTGTGCAACCATCACCACAATCAGTTTTAGAACATTTTCATCACCCCAGAAACCCCATATCGACCAGCAGTCACTCCTTGTTCTCCCTTTCCCCATCCCCCCCACGCCCATCCCTAGACAACCACAAAGCTACTTAATGTCTTTATGGATTTTTCTACACTATAGATTTTCTAGACTCCAGGTCATTTCGTATAAATGGAGTAATATAATATGTGGTCTTCTGTGACTTGCTTCCTTCACTTAGTATAATCTTTTTAAAGTTCATCCATATTGTAGCATGGATTTTTTTCGATTACCAAATAATATTCTATTGTATGGATAGTCCACATTTTATTTACCCATTCATCCATTGATGGATATTTGGGCTATTTCCATTTATTGGCAACTATAAATAATGCTGCTATGAACATTCATGTACAAGTTTTTATGTGGACACAGGCTTCCATTTCTCTTGGGCATATACCTAGGAGTGGAATTGCTGGGTCATATGGTAACTCTGTTTAACCTTTTGAGGAACTGCCCGACTGTTTTCCAAAGTGGATGCACAATTTACATCCCCACCAGCAGTGGATAAGTGTTCCAGTTTCTCCTCATCCTCACCAACACTTGCTGTTGTCCTTTTTTGTTTGTTTTATGTGCATCATAGTGGTGTGAAGTATCTCATTGTGGTTTTGTTCCTCATGACTAGTGTTGAACATCTCATCTGCTTACTAGCCATTTGTATGTCTTCTTTGAAGAAAGGCTAGTCAGAGCCTTTGCCCATTTTAAAATTGGGTTGTTTGCCTTCTTATTACTGAGTTAGAGTTCTTTATAAATTCCAGATACAAGTCCCTTATTAGATATGTGATTTGCAAAATTTTTCTCCAGTTCTATGGGTTGTCTTTTAACTTTCCTGGTGGTGTCCTTTGACTCACAAAAGTTTTAAATTTGTTTCAATTTGTCTTTCTTCTTTGGTTGCCTGTACTTTTAGTGTCATATTGAAGAAGGCTTTGCCTAATCCATGGTCACAAAGATTTATCTTTTTTAAAAGAGTTTTATAACTAGCTCGTACAATTAAATCGACGATCCATTTAGCGTTAATTTTTTTATATGGTGTGAGGAGGGATTCCATCTTCATTCTTTTGTATTGGCCATCTAGTTGTCCCAGCACTCAACATTTGTTAGAAAGCTCTTCTTTCCCCCACATCAAGGGTCAGACTTAATCTTTACCTCCTGAAGAGGGAAGTGTTTGCTGTTTGCAATTCTTCTTAAGGATGACTTGTCCCTTCTCCCCCATTTATTTATTTGTTCATTTGATTATTTATATCAGTGTGGACTTACGGATATGCATTGTATTCTTTGGGTTATATTCCTGAGGACTTCCTCTGAAGTCCTAGCTGCAGCTCAGAGTTCTCTGTAACTGGCGTTTCTCACTTTAAGCCTCAGCTGCTCAGGGCAGAGGAAGGACCAGCCAGGTCTGGGTTCAAGTTTTGGCTCTCACTAGCTCTACTGTCCTGGGTTACTTACTTAGTCTCTGAACCTCAGTCTGCCTAGAGGCAGAGCGGAGATGACACTTGGAAGACAGATTGTTGGGTTACGATACTAGAGGTATGTATGGGCTGATGTCATAGGATTTTTGTTCCTGCTCAGGACCAACGACGTGGTTCTGGGCAGGTCACTTTAATGCTGGATATGGAGGGAGGGTGTGTGGGTGCCAGAGGGTCAGTCTCTCTCCCTCTCTCTGTCTCTCTCTCCTCCTCGCTCCCTCCCTCCCCTACCCCTGCACAAGAAGTCTCTGGGTCACTCCTTTTCTCTGTCAACTTCCATTGTGTGTCTATAAATTTGAAACCAGGATTTTAATATAGTTCATTTTATTCATTTTTTTTATTCTGGTTGTTTATGTTAATATTTATTTTCTTGTATAACATTATGTTGCATAGGAATGGGGACCTTTTTTTCTGAGTAATGGACCAATAAAAAATTATAATTTTTGAATTCTTAATAATTGTAATTTATTTTTTCAATGTTAAATATTTTCCCATTGTTAAATTAGTTCATGTGCATTACAATTGGGGGAAATAATGGAAAATTAGCTGAAAAATGAAGTCCGTTTTCCCCACCACTGCTAACATTTTGATAAATTACTTAATAAGCTTTAGTGTACTTTTATATAATTCTTTGAAAACAGACTAGAAATCGCCTGCTTTATAAACTAAGAACAAACCAAATAAAGTTAGTAAATACACGACAAATAGGACTGGAATGGAGAATAAATAGAAAGAAAGACAGGTGGGTTGAGAAAGAAAGATGCAGAACAGCAACCAAAGTTCTTAGTCTTTTGAGATGCTACATGTGTTCATTGGACTTTCTAACAACATTTGTAAACCAAATATAAACGCTCTAAAACCTTAGAGCAGCGGTTCTCAGCCTGTGGGTCGCGACCCCTTTGGGGGTCAAACGACCCTTTCACAGGGGTCGCCTAAGACCATCGGAAAACAAAAAGATATTTACATTACGATTCATAACAGTAGCAAAATTACAGTTATAGAGTAGCAATGAAAATAATTTTATGATTGGGGGTCACCACAACATGAGGAACTGTATTAAGGGGTCGCGGCTTTAGGAAGGTTGAGAACCGCTGCCTTAGAGCCTCTTTCCCCCTTGTATCCTCTTTTCTTATCTTGGAAAACTGGCTCATTTTAAGGAGCCACAGCTCCATCTTGTGGTCTTCTAGAATATTGTTGTTGAAAATTGGGCTGTCGGAAAAGTCATGACGCATTTTTGCAATGAAAACCATAAAAAAGGGCCGGCCGAGTGGCTCAGTTGGTTAAGAGCTCGCTTGAGAGCACCAGCTCTGAGCAGCAGGCCTGCAGTTCGGATCCCACATTAAGGGCCAGTAACACTGCGCCCTCTACAGCTAAGATGATGAACAACAGCTCGACTTGGAGCTGGGCTGCTGTGAGTCACCGGCAACGGCATAGGCTGCAGTGGGCTACCGTGAGCTACATGAGTGGCTGGCAGCCAGTGAGAGCTGCCGCGAGCAGCCGACCAATGACCAGTGACTGATAGCCTCACCCAGGAAGAGCTCAATGAGCATACCAACATGGGCATGTGAAGCTATGTCCTCCACAACTAGACTGAAGAACAAAACAGCAATTTGTCTACCTGTCTGTTCTCCTTCCCCGATTCCCCAACGCTGTTCCCCTTCAATTTCGCAATAAAAAAAAATCTTTAAAAAAACCATAGAAAAAATACGTCATGACTTTTCTGACTACCCAATAAATTGAATTTTCCACAACTACGGGGTGAATTAAAGTGTGCTCTGGCACTTTGTAAGGGTCTTTACATCTGGTCTTTAGGCTGGTGGTTCCCACCCTAATAAATGGAAAGAAAACAAAAACTACAATTATTTGAAATCTTTGCTTGTAGTTATGAAAACAATGGATGTGAAAAATGCAGAAATGAAAGCAGTTTGTGATGGGATGGAGGGACTATGCAGATTTACTATTATAGTTTAATTTATTCTATATAACTTCTTTCAATTAAATAATTCAAAATTTTAAAATAACCTCAATACAATCCATCTCATCGCTTTCCTTTGGATAGAAAACTAAATCCAGAAAAAAATAAATGTCTTGCCTCAGCAGTGTAGAGGAGCTGTTTATTGTGTAGGAATGTTTTCAAACTGGTCGTTCTTGGATAAAACTAGTTTCTACAAGCATTTTTTCTTCTTGTTTTTACTTGGATGATGATCTCAAAAAAAAAAATCCATATAGTCATATTCTGGCACCCCCTGGATGATGAGCAGAGCTTTTGGATTTTGGTGGCATTTGTGCAAAGATCCAGTTAGCATGAGGGCTCCTTACTGAGCAAATAGCCCCTGGTCTCATGGGCAGTCCCTGCGTGCTCCCACCCTCTGGGAACATGCTTGCATTTTGAATGTGCATGAAAGTTTCAGATCAAGATGTAGAGATACCACAAGCCAGGATCTTTTGGGCATTTACCGTGTTCTATGCTGTTGAGGGCTGAATTGCGCCCCCTCCCCCCCCAACCCCGCATTGGTATGTTGAAGTCCTAACCCTCAGGACCTCAAAATGTGACTGCATTGGAGATAAGGCCTTTAGAGAGCTGTTTAAGGTTAAATTCTGTCATATGGGTAGGCCCAGAGTCCTTGTAAGAAGATATTAGGATACAGACACAGGGAAGACGATGTGAGGACACAGAAGGAAACAGCAAGAACCGCCAAACCAGTTGAAGAAACAGGTCCAGGGGTGCAAGTAGGTGTCTGTGGGCCTTCCTGCTGCCTGAGTCCTAGACAGGGCAGCCATGATGTCTCCCCAGACTATAGCCTTGTTTCTGGGCTATCACTGTAACCTGGGAAGACTTGCTATCTGCCCATCACCCAGTCACCCCCAAAACAAAAAGAGCCACCCTACACTGATGCCTAGGGCCATGGTCCAAAAGCCAGCCTGGGCCCCGTAATCTGTCCTTCCTGCTTCTCTAGGCTGGAAGCCAAGGAACCCTCAGTGACCGTAGATTCTCCAGACACCTTCACATCCCCATGCCCACCCAGCTGAGGCAATGCCAGCACCTGCTCAGGCACCAGATCTCTGCCCTCAAGGAGCCCTGGCACCTCCTAAATGCTGGGTGGCCCAGGGACTCTCACCTGGAATGGGGGCCAGATGTAGTGAGTCTAGAGCAGCGGTTCTCAACCTGTGGGTCGCGACCCTTTTGGGGGTCAAATGACCCTTTCACAGGGGTCGCCTAAGACCATCGGAAAACAAAAAGATGTTTACATTACGATTCATAACAGTAGCAAAATTACAGTTATAGAGTAGCAACGAAAATAATTTTATGGTTGGGGGTCACCACAACATGAGGAACTGTATTAAGGGGTCGCGGCATTAGGAAGGTTGAGAACTGCTGGTCTAGAGAGTCTAGCTTCCCAGGGCCAGGCTTCCCCTCTGTGATCTGCAGTGTCAGGGTGAAGGACACCAGGCATTCTAGGAGAGTCAGTGTCCTCAGCTCATGTCCCAAGTGCCTGTCTCAGGTGCTTGGTGCTCAGGAGCACCAGTGACTGTTATCCGGGACCAGGTACACCAGGTACCATGTGGGGATGGGCTCTGGTTTCACCTGAACTGGACTTGCAGCTCTGCCGCTTCATGGCTGTGTCGGTCATCCCGGCGTACCTCAGTGTCCTCATCTGTAAACTGGGTCAATAAGAATGATGAACTTGCACAACACAGGGCTGGGAGGTTAAATGGAAAAACCCGTGAAACACTTGGCCCCATACTCAGCATCCACAGGCCTCGATTCATAGTAACTCACAGTTATCAGTACCTTAGTCCCCCAACAGCCCCCTGAGAGCCCTATATTTGGCACATTTTACATCCAGGGAAAGTGAGTTTGGATGGGGGAGGTAACGTACCCAAGGCTGCCAGGAGAGGAACTGGCTGAGCAGAAGCAGAAGCACAGGCCCGGGGCTCTCCAGCTCCGTTCAGGGCCTTGCCCAGCCTGGTGCCCCATCTGCTCGACCTGCACCCCAGATCCATGCTCCTGAGCCCCAGGCCCCAGGGCTTCTCCATTGACAGGGTTTTGCCTCCTCCCCCAGGACAGAGCCCTGGACCGCGAGGTTCCTTGCCAGGGAGAAGGAGAAGAAATCCATCTGCTGGGGTCTGAGTGTGGCCTGGGGGACGGGCCATAGGTCCCGAAATGCCCCTGCCTGAGCCCGGTGAGCATGAGAGCGAGAGTGTGAAGGCCGGCCAGGAGCCATCCTCGGAGTCCCCTGAGCCGGGCACAGATGTCGTTCCCGCAGCCCCCAGGAAGCCCAGGAAGTTCTCCAAACTGGTCCTGCTGACGGCCTCCAAAGACAGTGCCAAGGTGGCCGGGGCCAAGCGCAAAGGAGTGCACTGCATCATGTCCCTGGGGGTGCCCGGCCCTGCCACCCTCGCCAAGGCCCTCCTCAAGACCCATCCTGAGGCCCAGCGGGCCATTGAGGCAGCCCCTCAGGAGCCTGAGCAGAAACGCAGCAAGCTGGACACAGGTGAGGCCCCGGTCCCAGCAGGCAGGACTGTGAGCAAGACTTCCCTGAGGCCAGAAGTCCCGTCACCTGGGAACCCAAGGGGACAGACAGGTTAAACTGGCTCTGGAGAGAGTGTGCCTGTGCTGTGAATGTGTCTGCATATGTTCTGTCTGTCTGCGTTACATCTTAGTGTAAACCTCTGCATGTCTGTAGCCTCTGTGCACATGTGTCTCTTTAAGGTTCTGTCTATAGTACGTATTTGCCTGGGAGGGGACGTCTATTTGTGTGTCCTAGTGTGTCCATGTCCCTGGGCCTATTTCTGTCCAAGTCCATTTGCATATTTATGTGTCTGGGGGGGTCTGTGTGTGCAGTTTTTGTGCCAGAGTCTATTTGAGGCCCCAAGCAGCCTCCCCACCCCTACTCCTACCTGCGACCAGGCTTGGTGTATGGAATCCTGAAGGTTGCTGGGGGAAGGGATGCCTAGCAGCTGAGAAGGAGATGAGCTGGGGTTTCTTCCCAACTTGGGTCTGCCATGCCCTAGAACAGGGGTTGGCAAACTTTTGAGGTAGAAGAGCCGCCCAGGGGTTAGCAAACTGTGGCTCATGAGCCGCAGGTTCTGAAGTAAAATTGAAAATGAAAATAAAACTGTCATAGTTTCATTTATAAAACTTTTAAAGGCTATTATTCACATAATGGAGATTATATAAAATTATATGGCTCTCAAATGATTTTTAAATTGTTGTGAGGGATAGAATTGGCTCTTCCAGGGGTCAGCAAACTTTTGAGACGGAACGTACCCAAAGAGCTGCATATGGCTCATGAGCCGCAGTTTGCCCACCCCTGTACTAGAAAATGGAGACAATAAAAGCCACAGCAGTTGGCCCTGTTTGTTGCCTATGAGCAGGTGGCCCCCTTAGAGTTACCCAGGGCACTTGGCCTGGCAGCCAGTCCCAGGAAAGGGAAACCAAAGCCTCTTGGTTTCCATCAGGTAGCTGGGCAGTGCAGGAGACCCCACCTCATTGATGGAAATTTAGTGATGAGTGCCTTGAAGTCATGGGGGAAGCCCCACTGCTTCCCTCAGGCTGAGACCTTATGGCTCCTGAGATGGGAACCTTCCCAGCCACAGGCCTGGAGCTCACAAGGGACCTGAGGAACCCCTCAGCCTCCATACCCTGCTGGACAGAAGCCATACTCAGGGAGTCAGGGTGTCCCCATCTCCCCAGAGCCTGGAGGCCCCTCTGCAGCGTGCCTGGCTCACCCTGTGAGCTCTTCTACCAGCCATTTCTTACTCAGGTGCCTCCACGTGTTCACCTGCTTCTTCCTGCCAGTGCAGGGGGTAGAGGGTGCTGTCTTATGACCTATTGGGAAGCAGGGCTCAGAGGGGCCAAGTTACTGCCCAGAGGCCACCAGCTGATCACTGCAGAGAGTGAAGGGGGGACATCTGGCTCAGATCCTGTTCTTCCCACTGACTCAGTGGATTGGGCCATCTCCAGGGTCCCCTCCACCCTGTCTGAGACCTCTGCTCAGAGATCCGCCCAGGTTCTGGGGCCAGGTGGGCCCCACTCCACACATATCATTGTGAGAATTAGAACAAAGCCACCCTTCCTCAGATGGAGAGGGGAGAGCAGAGCAAGGGCTGCCTCTCAGCCCCACAGGCTCCCCGATGCAGGTGACCTTGAGCAGTCAACAACCCCCTCAAACTCCCACCCCATCTTTTCCACTGTACTTAGTCCACAACTTCCCCACCTCTCGCCCAATCTCAGGCCAGGCAGTGGGGATAGCAGCAGCTTCCTAGTGCTCAGCCCAGATTTGGCCCAAAGATTCCCAGAAATGACTTTAGCAGCGTCTGTGTCCCTGGGCTACTGGACTTCGGGAGCACATTTCTGGAGTCGGCACTTGTTTCTCTAAGTTGGTCCATGATGCCCCAGAACATCCCCTGGTGGGCTGAGAGCTCCAGGCCCTGGGTCCGCGCCCCACAACAATCCCTCCCTTTTCCTCCGACACCTGCTTGACCTACTCCCTTCTCTTCCAGATGGAAAAGAAGACAGAAAGTTGGCAGGGTGGCCTGCCCCCAGTCCTGCAGTGGGCGGGGAGGAGTCCACCATGGGACCCAGTGAAGCCCAGTAACCCTGACAACAGCAGGTGCAACCTTGATGGGTCAGTGAACTTGGCTGTGACTTCTGCTTGGGGCCCTGTCCCTGATGGACTGATTTTCATTCTCAGCATTGTGTAATTTTTTTCAGCTCAAGCATAGGTTACTTTTGTAAGCAGGAAGAAACTAATTCAAAACAGAGAATAAAAGAAGCTGTATGCTAGATCCCATCGTAGGGTTGTAAAAACTCCAGGATTCTGGATCCTCTGAGGCCCATCTCCAACCTCACCACCCCTGGGTTTCTCCCCACCCCCAGCCCTCACCTGGCTCTTCTTCCCCGGAGCTGCCTGGCCTGGTCCAGCTCTCAGACCCAGGAGGGCTCTCGGAAGCCTCTATCTTCCCAGGCCTCGTACCCCTGGGCATCCTTAACCTGGAAAACCAGCCCCTGGCCCAGAGACTAGGTGGGGTCTTTGAAGTTCCCCTTCCTGCTGCCTTGTTCTGAAAGGGGGCGGTGGGACATCCAGCCCTGACTCCCTGGGAAGCTGATCCAGCCCCTCCATGACTCTCCCTCCAGGGCCAGTCTCCCTGCTGGAGCCTCAGAAACCTCACCTCCTCCAGGAAGCCACACAGGACTGACAGCCCCACTGTATAGGGGCTCTGCTGTCATGGCAGCAGAGGACGGGGTGGGCCTGCAGTCTGCGGGTGGGGACCCCAACAGATATGTATGGTACTCCTATCGTGTTCCTTCTGGATGGTTTGGGAGGTGAAGGAGATGCCTGGGAACCTGAGCCCCTCCCCAGGTTCTGCGTGCTGCTCCTGCTGGAGAAGGAGTTGAAGAAACACAATTCCCTGCCAACCTGAAGTCAAGGTCCCTCGGAAAAGGCTTCAGCCTTCAGTTGCTTCATCTTGTGTGGTCCTTATTCTTTGAAAACTGCCACCGGGTGCAAGGAAACAGATTATTTTTAAATTATAAAGTTTAGAGTCCTTATGTTTTAAAACAACATTTTCTAAATGTAATCAGTATCGACTCCCCCTTAGGAGAGTGAGGTACTCATCATGTTTTCCTTGTCAGCTCTCCATTTTGCAATGTTATTTTTACAGAATGTTTGTTTGTAACAGTTATATTCTGTAACCATAATTTGAGGCCTTCTTTTTTCTTTTTTTTTTTTCTTTTTTTTTTTAGCTGAGCCATCCTGCCACCTGTTGGCAGCTCAGCGGCTGCTCAGCTTGGGCCGGAACTTGAACCGCTGTTGCTCAGAGCTCAAACTCTTGAGCAAGCTCTTAACCAACTGAGCCACTCGGCCGGCCCAAGGCCTTCTTTTTTCTTAATTCTATATGTAAATAGATTCCCCTTACCCACCCCTTTCTCCTTTCCTGAGTTCTGAGCCGTCCTCTTGGTGGGCTGGTTTTGTTGCATGGTAAGTACACAGGAAGAGTCGCTTACTGTCTAATGTGTGACGGTGGAGTGCCACCAGGGAAGCAGGAGTGATGAAGAGGAGGTGAGGAGAGGGGACAGGCAAGGAGACTTCGTGCCCCTTGGCCTGGCGTCCAAGCAGTCCCGGCCTGGGCCGGTCATAGAGGATTCACCCTGGCCCAATCCCTGGACAGGGTCCCTGGCTGGCGTCCCCTCCCCTGACTTTAGTATGGCACCACTGACCCCTCCTGTTGCTGCTAAAGAAGCCATGGGCTGAGCTGGCACTCGGGTCCCTAGAGAGAGGGCCTGGCTGACTTGGTGGCCCCTGGAGGCTGCATGGGGACAGCAGCAAGGGCCCATCTCCCTCCTGGGGCCTGGGTAGCCAGTGGTGCCGGTCATCTACCTGGATAATATCATAGGGCAAGCACTACCGCTGAGCCAAGCTGGGAGCCCACACACTGGGGCCGGCAGTGTCAAGGTTTTCTTTATTTTGAAACATTTCAAACTCATATAAAAGTTGAAGGAACAGTGCAGGTATAGCCCTCACCTAGATTCACCCTCCCCACTCTTCCTCTCTCTCCTGTCTCTTTCTTGCCCCTTCACTTCTTGGGGATCTTAATGTCTCCCCAGGGTAGAGTATCTGGGACCTAGTGGCCAAAGGTCACAGCTCTGGCCTCCCAGAGCTAGACAGGAAACATGGAACTTCCTGACTGGTAAGTCCATGAGAACTGGGGCTAAGGGCTGCTCAAGAGAAGGCCAGGTACCCCATGGTGTCTGACAGTGGGCTCAGGGAGGTCAGCCTGAGGAAGCCCCTAGAGCAGCAGTTCTCAACCTGTGGGTCGTGACCCCTTTGGGGGTCGAAGAACCTTTCACAGGGGTCGCCGGGTACTCATATGTGGGCGTATCTGCATGTGGGCCTGGAGATGGATAGAGGAGTGGTGTCTCGGTTCCTAAGACCATTGAAAATATGTGTTTTCCGATGGTCTTAGGCGACCCCTGTGAAAAGTTGAGAACCACTGCCCTAGAGAGAACTGAAGGATGAGGAGGGTGAGCCTGGGCGGAACAAGCGTGGGGCCCAGAGGGATCTGGGCAGAAAGGCCAGGAGGCAAAACTGGAGGATACAGGCCGGTGTCTCAGTGCCTGAAGGTCACAGTGAGGGTTTCAGATTTATCACAGGCAGCGGGAGGCTGGGGAAGGATTCATGCAGAGGAAGGGTGTGGTAGCATCATTACACAAAACTCCCCCTGGTGCCATGAGGACAGCCTGGTGGGGTCCCAAATGAGAGCTGGAAGGCCACTGAGGAGGCCCACACAGCCTGGATGAGAGGAGAGGGAGGGGAAATGGTTGAAGCTGGATGGAGGCTGAACCAGACTAAGTGATAGGTTGTCTTGCTGGGAGGACAGGGCATGAGGGAGAGAGGACTGACCTGCCTAGCTGGGACGGGGGAGGTGACAGTGCCACTCACCAGGAGGAGAATGATGCTGGAGACAGGGACCCATTCTGATTCCATACAGCTGGCATTCTACTTGACAGTTGTGTTCCTGTGAAGAGAGTGGTTCCTACGAGTGTTCACAGAGGAAAAAATTCTCAGAGGTCGCAGATCGATGCCAGCTTTAGGTCTCTGCACTCTGTGAGTAGAAGGGGGTATTAATTATGATGGGGATTGAAAGTAAATAGGATGATTATGCACTTCCTTTTTAAAAATAGCTTTTATTGGTCTTTCCTTCAAGCTAAAAGAAAAGGTAATTCATGGTCATTAAAAAAACAGAAAATATTGATTATGAAAAAATCTTACAAACATCTCCAGTAATCCACCATCTAGAGATAAATCTACGATCCATATTTTTATATTCAGAAAATTGGGGTGATACAGCTCACATTTTTTCTTAACAGATTACAAATGTCTAACATTCTTTTACTGACTGCACAACATACCACCACAGGGGTGTGTGATCATTTATCCAACCAATTCCAATTGCTGGATGTATCCCAGTTGTTTCCAGATTATTAATAATTCTTAAAACAGCCTTGGGTTTTCTGAGGACAAAGCTCTAGAAGTGAGATTGCTGTGAATACCCAGCTTTCAGACATCCTTGTCAACACCTGGTACTGTTACTCCCCAAAATTCAAGTTCACGTGCCCGACGCACTAGTAAGCCAAAACCCTGAGACACCAGTGGCTGGAGAGAGAAAGATTTATTTGATTTTTGCCAAAGCAAGAGGACGGGAGAGCACGATCTCTCAAATCCATCTTCCTCAAAAAGCAAAAGAAGCAAGATTTTATGCAGTAAGGGAGGGGGAGTTTCAGGGAAACAAGGGAAAAGTCTGTGTTTCTTCAGTCACAGATAACATTTTGTGCAGCCAGATGCCTGTGCAGCAGCAGCAGCAACAGAAAGTAAAATGCCTTTACTTTCTTAAAGGCATTTATTCCTTCTGCAAAACACACTCACCTTCTCCCTGTGGCTCCTCCTGCTTAACAAAGAAACAGTACACCAGCAACACAAAATTAAATTGTGAGGACAAGGGGTGCTGGGTAGAAGAACCCCAGTTCAGCAAACTATCTCATAATTGTGCATCAGCGATGTTATCTTAAAGCAAAAAGCAAAAATTAGAGACATCTTGTGACCTTACTGTTTAAGCTATCATTGTTGTTGCTCTTAACTAGCTATATTTTTCAATTATCTCAAGCAAAGTGTACCTTTAAACATTTCTCCTGGAACTTGCTTTACAAGCAGACCTTCAGAACATGAGTAACATACTTTCTTAATCTTTGACTATAAGCTACATGACAAAGCAATCGAAACTTTTAGTTAAAACCTATACCTGTAACTCCAGACTCCACCATCCAATACCTAAACATGTTTATTGTTAACTGTCAGTTTCAGTACTATCATTAAAAAGAAAATAATAATAGCACCCACCACTTCATTCTTGTATGCACAACTTCAGCGTGTTTTCTCCTGGGGCTGCATTTCCCTAGGTTGGCTTGGAGAGCTCATCATGGGATCCCCACCCGCTCAACTTTGTGATTGATGCTCCTGGTGACCGGGAGGGGGCGCCCGCGGACTCAGCGGTGATCCAGATGCGTTCCCAATACTCAGGCTGTGATGACAGCCAGGAGTGCCCTTCAGGCCATCTTTAAGTATCCCGCACCTGCTCTGAGATGCCTTCTGCAGGGGCTGGGAGTGGGCGATTGACCGGCAGATGGCCCGATACTGGGAGAATGCGAGTGAGAGCCTTACTCTTTGTCATCCTCCAACCTGAAGTCCAACACAAGTTGCAGCCCCTCCTCCTCCCTGTTTTATTTCTCCATAGCACGTACTACCTCTAACAGACCATGAACTCAGTGTTTATATCTATTGCTTCCTGTCCCGCCCCCATAACACAAGCTCAGCATCACCAAGGCAGGGGATTTTATTCATTTTGGTCCCTGAGATGCTCGGGGTGGAGAAGAGAGATGGGGAGCGAGCGGCGAAGTAGAGTGTGGAGGGGGTACAGGACGCGGAGGACAGGTGGAGGGCAGAGATGCGAGAGGAAGAAGTGGAGAATGAGGGGCGGGGAGCGTGAATGGCTGAAAACGTTGGAGGTCAGAAAAGGTGAGGAAGAGCGCGGGGAAGGAAAGGATTCGATAGAGAACTCGGAGGATGCGGAGAATATGGAAACGAGGAGCAGGCGGGAGGCTCAGGGCAGGAGGGCCCCTTGGGACCGGGATTTGCACCTGCCCGGAGCCAGGGAGCGCTTCTAGCATCAGCTTTAGAGCGACAGCATGGAGGCGGGAAAGGGGGGGTATCAGGAGAATATGGGGTTTCCTAAAGAGGAGCAGCGCCATCACGCTGCAAACGCCGAGGACGCGCAGCCGGAAGACCCCGGGCTCCGGCCCCGAAAAAAGGACCGGATGGAGGGAGGGTTCCCGCGGAGCTGGGAACGGTCGCGGTGAGCGAGGTCCGGGACCGCCGTGCGGGAGGAAAGGCGGGGTGCTCCGGCGACCTGCAGGCACTTAGCGCCCGGGGACCCTGAGAAGCAAGGTGGGCATCAGCTGTGATGATGCTGGGGACTCTCCGGCCGTCACCTGCCAAGTGTCCAGGAAAGCAGCGCTGAGGTCCCGCAGCTCCCTGAGCCGGAGCAATCCCGGTCCCCACCGCTCAGGGTGGTTGAAGAATGACAAGTGTCCAGTGGTTGTGAGAAGGGCAACCGCTGGGCGGATGGACCAGGGCGGGACCGATGGGCGAGTGCGGGACCAATGGGTGAAGGCTGGACCGATGGGCGAGGGAGGGACCAGTGCGAAAAAAGATGCTTTCCTCCGGGGAATACCAAAAGGGCGGGTATTTTTGTTTGACGTTTTATTTTGACATAATTTCACACCTACGAAAACTTGCAAGAAGCGTACAAAGGATTCTCATATATTCTTCACCCAGATTCACCAAATGTTAGGAATGAAGCCAGCCACAGCAACAATATTTATAATAGCGAGATTTAGAAACGAAGCGTCCAACAGGAAAATAACTAAATTATGAAGGCAATCATAAGCTTATATGTTTTATTTGGCTCCCTGCTATAAGAAAGAGCTTGTTTTGGCCCCCATTTACTTATTTCCATCAGTATCAGCTCATGGATTCTTATTTTATTCAAGGTTATAATCTATTATCATTATTTATTTTGAATTTCAAATTGGCTCAGCTTGGGGTGGGGTCATTTGAAGGTTTCAATGAGGGACATAAGAAATTTCCTTCCGCTGTCCAAGGAAAGTGACGGGCCTACGGATGCATTTAAACAAATGCTCCCGCTTTGTGAGCACGAAGTCAAACCCTGGGGGAAATCCGGGGGTTCCAGTTAAGTCCCCCACCCACTTGTCTTAGAGCTCCGGGAGCAAGACCCCCGGTCCAAGCCACAGGTCTCCGCTCCCGTACGTCGCCACCCAATCTTGGGCTTTCCACGCGTCTTTTGAGGGCCATAGCCCCACCTCCGGCGCCGATTGGTTGGGTCGCCAGCTCGGCACCGCGCCGGGAAGACACGGAAAAGCGGAGTTCGCCCCCAAAATGGGCTCTGCTGCGCATGCTCACCAGGAGTCTGTTTAGGCGTTCCCAGAGGCGTGCTCCCCAGCGGAATGGAGCGCGCTCCCGACAACCCTTCGGGACGGCGCGCGGGGGCACGGGCTCGGGCTCGTTCCCGAGAGTGCAGGTGGGGGCGGGGAACGGGCGTCCGGGTTGTGGTGGCCTGAGGGACCTGGGCCGCGAGGTTGACGCCTGTGGCTGTAGCGGCGGAGGCCAAAGGACCTGCCACCTCTCGGTATCCGGAGAGGAAGGGCCCCGCTGCCGTCGCCGCCCGGCCGGTGCCCGGTGAGGACGGGCCCCAGCGGGTCGGGTAGGATCGCGGGTCCATGGCGTGGACGCGCCTCCGGCCGGGCTCTTCCGGGGGTCCCAAGGGCTGCTGAAGCTGGGGGGAGGGTTGTCCCCGAGCTCTGCGTCACGGTGTTCAGGCCGCCTCCTTGTTCTTCACCGGGATTCGCCTCCTTTCTCTTGGCCCCTCCTTCCCCCAACCCACCCAAACATGGGACTGAGCCCTGACACCCTAGGGAGCCCCACTTTAGCCTGTCTCCCCTGGCGGTGTCCGCGCCATCGCGTACTGCCCCCACCCTCTCACCCACTCCACCCCGGTCCCATCTTTGCGGCTCTCAGGTCCCAGTGACCTTGCACTTTTTGTTGTTGTTAACGCTGCTTTTACTCCTGATTATGTAGATTGCCCGCTGTGGCTTTCAAACTTTTTTTTTCAACTTACGCTGAGAAATACATTTTACATGCAAACCTTGTGCCTGTAGATGTAGATTACTGAAACATAAGTTTAAAGGGAGATATTACCTTAACCTCACATGATGATCCCCATATACTCGTACTCCACTCCTATTCTTCTAGTCTCTTCTTTTCATTCCAAAAGACTATTGCTAACCCATGAAATTGATTTCAGGAGCTAATGGGTGTGACCATAGTTGGAAACACTAGCTTTAACCATCCGTCTTTTGCTTCCTTTATTCCTTGCCTTTGGAGGATGCTGAGCTCCAATAATCAGAGAATCATGTGTAACCTTCAAAAGGGTATATTTTTATTATTTTGACATTTCTGGCTTTCAGGGCCAAAACCATTTCCAGGACTTTATTTGAATTTTCTGGTTTGATTCAATCGGGTTTCTCCTGTTCCTCTTCCAAAAAGCCCCTAGTTAGCCTGGAGGAAGAGAGAGTGTGTGAGGTTAGGGCTAGGTTGTGGACTGTTTATAGCAGAGATAGAGACGATTTTTACTGGGGAGAGAAATGATTCAAGTTGAGCTTTTAGAAGATTAACACTCAGCACTGCCCTACGTGGGGAGAATTGGAAGACTGAAGCTAGAGGGGAAGACTATTAGGGAGGCAATGGGGATCAAAGCCCTGAGGTAATGTACAGTGGAAAGCATAGAAGATGCCAGAATCAGGTGTAGAAAGAATGAGATTTGAGAACACATTAGGCCTGGTAAGGGAGGAGTAAAAATAGTTACGATTCTGATGGGGAATTGGGGATTTGGGGGCGGGGAGTGCCATTGGCTGGAATCTCCCTTTCTGTAGTCTCTGCATCTCTAAGTTGTTTTGGAGCGGTGGTTCTCAGGGGACATTCACAAAGTCGGTTGTCAGGACTTGGGGGGTGCTCCTGGCATCTAGCAGGCAGAGGCCACAGATGCTGTTAAACATCCTTCATTGCACAGAACAGCCCCACAACAAAAATTACCTGGTGCAACATGCCAGAGGTGCTGAGGTTGAGAAACCCTGCTTTAGAATAGCAGTTCTTAATCTTTATCACTGTCAGCTTCACGCTCTCCTGGGAATAATTGCCTATATGCACACTCAGAGACTGTGCATATAATTATATGAGGGTTCATGGGTCAGTCAGTGTGCACCTCTAACCCACAAAGCTCAATAATGGGCGAGGAGAGGGGGACAGCAATTGGGATCATCCAGGAGCTTTGTCAAACATCAGGACCTCCTCTCCTCCCCTTACACTATTCAGGACCCCTGTTGGGGCCTGGACAATAAATTCCTTGTTCTTGTGTGATGATTTACAGTTTATAGAAGAATTTCACATACAGTATCTCATTTGCTTTTCCTGTTTCACAGGTGAAACCGGCCCAGAGAAGTGATGGGATTTGCCCCAGCTCTCCCACCCAGCAAGCCAGCTCCAAGGACCCAGGTGTTGGCAGCTGACAATGGTGGTTGTTGCTCTGGTGTATGAAGGTAATTCTGTTAATCCGTCATCAGCTGCCAAGCCAGGCGCTGCCTTTCAAGACCTTACTGATGAGGGCTTGGACTCAGGGGTGCCTGAGAGCCACCTAACAGTTCATAATATTGTGTGTCTCTTGGGTGTTGGGTTTATACTGAGCCCTTTGTGACCACCAACAAGACAGCACCATCAGAGCACGCAGTTTGAGTACTGCCCTCAAGTTGCTCTGTACCTCTCTTCTGAGGGAGGGGAGAGAAGCTAAGAGAGCGACGAACCATAAACTGTAGCTCTTGAACTTGCCTGACTTAAAAACACTCCAGATACTCAATAAGTTTTTACTGAGTAAAAATTGAATGTTACAAAATAAACACATCAGGACCCAAGTATTTACCTTAAAACAATGACCATCCAAAGTAAAAACTTAAAATACACCTAGAATAAATATGTATAACAAATAAAAGTTTCATATGGTGATACTCGCTTTTGTTATGTGCAGTGCAGATGGATATAGGCTATGTAATTGTTTTTGAATTACCAGAACCCAAAGATAATAGAACCAATGATAAAGGCAATTTGAAAAGCAGAGCCTTAGACCAAAACAAAGGAAAGAAAGCTCTTTCATACAGATATAAAATGAACACGGGTGAAAGGTTTTACTCAACTCGGTAATCAAGGAACCAGTAAGCTCTTCAGCCAGTTTGCAAGAGAACCCAAAGAAGATTCTAGAAGACTGGAGTTCAGGAATATTGAAATGAATGTGCAGATGGAGGCAAAACTGGCTTCTTCCACAGTGGGGAGACTTATTTGCATATCTATATTTATTTACCTGGAGAGAGAGAGGATTTATTGTCTAGAGACTATATTATTTTGCATTGTTCAGAGTTCTTAGTTCTCATTATTCTCTACAGTACACAGAGTTATAAAAATAGCTCAAAGGCAACCAAAGGCTAGAATCATAACCTGGAAGGGTGTGTTCTAGACAATGCAGTTTCCCATTAAAGAACAGAATTTTCCCTGCAGGCTCATAATCTCAATGAAAGATATTTTTGATCACAAAATAAGACTGGTCTCATTAGATTTGGCCTGATCATTTTCCTAGATGCAGCAGTGTGTTAATTTACCACATAGGCCTTCTTAAGTTTGCTTTGCTGGGAGTCTTTGTATGGAATCTCAAAATGGATTTTTAAAAATCTAATATTTGCTCCCCTGAGGTACAGAAATGCCCAGGCAGCTCTCTCCCCACATTTCACCTGTGCTAGTTACACATTTGGGCAAGTTCCTCTCTTCTTGAGGTCCCCAAAATACCCGAAGGCGTCTGAAACCTATTAAATTTTTATAGGATCTTTACCAAAAAAGATGAAATCTTGATTCTCCCACTGATATAAAATACACAGATGTGAATGATTTTATTTAAGCCATGAACAAGGGAACCTGTACAATGTGACAGATTTAAATGAGATGATGTATGTGAAATATTTCATGTGACGCCCGGCAACAAGAAAGCCTGAGATCCCTCTTCGGCTGGTCACTTAGCTGCGGGCCACCTATAATGTTTCTCAAGGGTATCTATTCCCTAGTGTTTCTCAAAGCACAGTCCATGGCCCACCAGTACCAGAGCCTCCTGGGGTACTTGTCAAAAAATCCAGATTCTTGAATCCCTCTCCAGAATATTGGATGGAAAATCTAGACACCTGCATTTTTATCACGTGCCACAGGGTAATTCTTAAGGAGACCAGAATTATACAAATCACTGAAATAAAAGTTTTGTGAAAACTATAATTAACCTCTTAAATGCATTCTTTCTATTCGATTTCATTTTTTAAACACTGGTCTTAAGCAGGGCTTCTCAACCTTTGCACTTTTGGCATTTTAGACCAGATCCTTCTTTGAGGGGGGTTGGGTGGAGAGGCTGCCCTGGGCACTATGGGATGTTGAGAAGCTTCTTTGCCCCTACCTGTGCCCCACCGCCACCCCCAGTTGTGACAACCAATAATGTCTCTGGACATTGCTAAATGTTGCCTGGGGAACAAATCACCCTGACTGAGAAGCACGAGTCTTAACCCACTGACACGATGGTCAGAACTGTTTTAAATTATTTTAAGAGTTTAGGCCCTGAAGACAGACCCGGGAGGTTTGAATGCTGACTCTGTCTTTTATTGACCTGGCTTTTGGTCTCAGGGTCCTAAGATTAAGCCTTATGTTCCTCCTCTGTAATATTGAAGAACAGTAGACTCTAACTGATGAGGCTCTTTGGAAGATAAAATGAAATACCGTATTTGCCGGCGTATAAGACGATTTTTTGGCCCTGAAAAATATGCCTCCAAGTGGGGGGTCGTCTTATACGCCAGGTACACTTCAGATAGACTGCCCATAGTGCTTGCCCCGTGCCATAGTGGCCTCCCGATGCCCACCCACTTCATTCCACATACCGTTCAGGCATCAGCAGCGCTGCTGGGTGTATGCTCGGCTGTTATGCGATTTTGCTGTTATGCGATTTTACCACACTCGCAAAATCGCACACAGCCGACCATACACCCAGTATGATAGCGCAAAATCACGAATTGCGATACCATACTGGGTGTATGGTCGGCTGTGTGCGATTTTGCGAGTGTGGTAAATTCGGGTTACCGTATATTTCTTTATGCATTGAAGATTCGCGATTTTGCGCTATCATGGTGCCTGTTAGAATGTTGAAGAGCTCGCACTTGCGCACTAGTGAGGTCCCAGGGAGATGCTGATGCAAGGGTGGACCAGACTGCTATAGTGACAGGGCGGGCAAACAGGGAGCAGGGACCAATCAAATCAGGCTTTGTATACAGCCAACAGCCAACCACAATACTGCACCATTGTACAGTACAGCATAGAAAATGTCGACCAGTCAAACCCCTATCATCCCTATCATGGCACCAGCCAAAAGAAAGAAGTATGATGCAAATTTTAAACTGAAAGTTATAAACTTTGCTAAGGAAAATAATAATTGTGCAGCTGCAAGACAATATGGAGTAACAGAAAAGATGGTTCGGGACTGGAAATCAAATGAGAAAGCATTAAAGAGTATGCCAAGGGGTAAGTGTGCATTAAGAAGAGGCACCCCACACTGGCCAGAACTCGAAAAACATGTAGCAGACATGGTGGCTCAACATCGCCAAAACGGTTATGTGGTGACACGAAATACAATACGCTTGTTTGCACTTCAGTGGGCCAAATCAAATCTGATATTGTTTTACCTTTTATTTGGTGTGTGGAAGGTGTGCGGAAGAGGGGGTAGTCTTATACGGCGAGTATATAACAAACCCTGTATTTTGAGTGGAAATGTTAGGGGGTCGTCTTATACGCCCAGTCGTCTTATATGCCGGCAAATACGGTAACCCAAAGTCCTTAGAGTAGTGCTGGGCACACAGCTGCTATTTGGTAAATCACAGTCCTTTAGACTCTTAAAGGATGTATCGCTTGACAGAAACGACTATAAGATTTCAACTGGGTATTTCATTGCTCTCCCTGGTGGTGGAAGAACTGAGAAGCCAAACACGAAATGTGAGCACCCCGGAGCTTAGCGGTAGCCAGGTGCTGCCACCACGGCCAGGCTGGGAATCCAGGGCAGCAGGCAGGAGATCCTGCAAAGCTGGAGCAGACAGCACTGGTGGGGCCTCACCAGGTAGGAAACTATGGGGACATCATCCTTCCTCTATCCTCCAGTCTTCCACGGTGCCCCCCACTGGCCAGATTGGCTGGAAGCCACTATGATACATTACAAAAATAGCTGGTTCATAGGGACACATCAGTGCAGCTGACAACTTACTCTGAAGGCCTGGCTGCAGCTCTGCACCAGATTTTTTCTCACTTCAAGCCTCAGCTGCTTAAGGCAGAGGGAGGCACTTCATTAGCTCTGGGCCAACTGGACCTGGGTTCAAGTCCTGGCTCTCCGTAGCTATGCAGTCCTGGACCACTCACTTCAGATCCCAAGCCTCAGTTTCCCCAGAAGGAGAGCAGGGATGATGATGACACTTGGAATGGAGATTGTTGGGTTATGGTATTGGAGGTATGGGCTGATGTTGTAGGATTTTTGTTCCCAGCTTCTCTCTCTTTTCTCTCTCTCTCTCCCTCCTCCCACCCCCGCTTCCACTTAAGAGGTCTGTGAGTCACTAGTATTCTCTGTCAACTTCCATTGTGTATAAGTTTGAAATTTGGGTTTTCAAAAACCTTTTATTTTTAATTAATTTTAGACTTTTTAAAAATTGCAAAAATAGTACAAAGAATTCCCATATACTCAGTCTCCCTAAATGTCAACATCTTACCTAATGTCAAATCCAGGAAATCAAGATCGATGCAATACTATTGACATAAACTACTGACCTGACTCAGATTTCACCAGCTTTCCCCCTAGAATCCTTTTTCTGTTCCAGGATCCCACATTGCATTTCGTCATCATGTCTCCTTAGCCTCTTCTAGCCTGTGACAGGTCTTCAGCCCTTCCTTGTCCTCGATGACCTTGATAGTTTTGAAGTGTCTTGCTCACTTGTTTGTTTTGTAGACTGTCCCTTCATGTGGCTTACATTAGAATGGGGGTGCATGTCTTGGGCAGGAATATAACAGAAATGATGTTGTGTCCTTCTCAGAACCTCTTATCAAGGAGGTAATGGAGTTGGTGTGTCTTTTTGCTGGTGATATTGACCTTGATCACTTAAGGGGGTGTCTGTGGGATTTCTCCACTGTCAAGTTACTATCTTTCCCTTTGTAGTTAACAAATACCTTAGGGGAAATATATTTGAGGCTATGTTAAGTCCAATAACAAGGATTTTAATATGCTTGATTTTTATTCATTTCCCTGTTCTTTCATTTATATTACTCTTTATTTCCATGTATGACATCATATTGCATAGAAATGTTCCCTGCTTTTTCTGAGAGTTACTGAATTAAAAACAAAAAAAGACAAAGCAAGGAGATACAGCTTATATCTTTAAAGCGTTTAATATTTTCCCACAATAATTTTCCCCAAAGTTTATGCACATTGTAA